TCGTTCTGTTGCGTGTCAAGTGGCTGAATGTCTGTCTTTGTGTTACCGAATTCTGCAAAGCACTTTGTTACACCTTACTGAACAAAAAGTGCTCTACAAATAAAGTTGGATTAATTAATTGATCATGGAATTTTATTTATCACACAGGAACCCATTTCTGAAAGGAATTTGGACTATTATTTTTGACTCGACTCTTGCCGTAGACCTTGGCACTTTTAAAAAAAATATATTATTGTCAAAAGAACCTTGAAATAAGAAGTATTCAGTAAGAATGCATATGGTACTATATACAATATAAGGACTTTTCCAGTCCACCTGATAACCAGATGTTAGATTTTTTGGGTAGTGTGCAAAACACTGAAGTTGACCATGCGTTCGTTTGATGCCATGCAATAACAGTAAAATGAAAAACTATTTGCTTTGTTAGGGCCAAACATAATTGAATCATCTGCATCTCATCTAAAATGGATGGTGTGATCTGGCAAACATTAACAGTATTTGAATGATGGTCTGAAAGTGGATTTTCCTGAAGTGATTGTTTGCTTTGGATCCACATGCAACACTGGCAGTCCGAACTGGCCATCCCAGAACATTAACCTTATTCTACTTAACTAACATGGAAAATAATTAATATTTTATGTTGGCAATATGCATTTAAACAAAATAAATTACACAACGTTTTGCACCACGCTGGAGAAATTCTCTGTTGAACATTATTATTTTTATTAGTAGTATAAGTATTGTCTTTTTTTATGTTTCAAGAATGTATTTTGCAGAAATGCTACGGTAGCTCTAAAAACCAATGCTTTCTAAAAACATTCAAATACTCACTGTTGAAACATACCTATTTTTGCGTTTACATTATTGAAGTTGCAGGATGTAAGAAGCGCAGCCTATAGGCCGATAGAAAACTGATCACCACTGACATGCTTCCTCGCCCCCCGTTCATTTAGCATTAGAGGGAAAGGGAATTGACGGCGAAGTCATGTTGGTGATGTTTATGTAGTCAGAAGCCTTGCAGCTAAGCAGCTCTGATGAACACAAGCTATGGCGTGATGAGTGTGTGCACTTATTGCAAAGTGGAGAGGAGGTCTTCAGGGAGAAAGCCCTTTCAGATCAAACAGTAATCTGATCAAATGTAGAGCATGTTTGTGGGTCTTTGCTGTGGCCCTGGCTCTGGTAACCAGCCGCCGCAATATCATCTGTCCTGCAGGACCTCAGTCTCTTTAGCTCACCCTCTTTCATTACCAGTCTGGAACGGCTGACCCATTTCTCCCATTCAATCCCCATATTCATTCCACACTCATTGATCTCTGCTGGTTGAATTTTCTACCACTGGAGTTTGTCTGAAAAGATGATCTTTGTAGCAGTTGCAACACTGTGGCTAGTGTAGAAACAGATCCCAGGAGCATGAAAGTTGGGATTCTTTGTATGCTGAACGGCCTGCTCCGCTGGGTTATTTGATCTGACAACAAAAATCACCTGGCTTGCCTTAGGGAACCAAACCAAAGTCAATGTTACACGTCAGCTAATGTTCAGCTTTTGTTCTTTATTTCAGAATGAAATTAGTTGTACTTTAGCCAACTATAAAGCACAGAAGCAACAAAAAGAAAGTTTCTGATTGTGAATTCTCACTTTTACACCATTCCAGTCCACTGAGCCCTGTTTCTCCAAACCGCCAATGAAGCATCCCCACTCACACCTGCCTCCCTCTCTTAACATTGCGAGACCCCTTATTGCCCCGCCATTCATATCAGTGGGATTAAATGGATCGTTTTCCAACGTTAGCAGCTCCTCCGCCGAGTGGTCTTGATGTCAGGGCCAAGCATAATTGAGTCATCTGCATCTCATCTAAAATGGATGAAAGGACTTTCTGATATCGCCAGTCCTCTCCCCATGCAGCAACCCACTAACACACGCACACACACACACGCACACACACACACGCATGCAAATCCACACTTAGGACGAAAGAGAGAGAGCTTTTTATTCATTTTAGGAAGATAGAACAAAGGCAGCCAGAGATAAAGGAGCTATAACAACATCACCAGTGGAATTAGAAACCAAAGAATCCATTGATCAAAACAGGTATATTTACTTACATACTGTCCTTGCAAAAGTATTAATAATTTTCCACATTTTGTCACTTCATCTTAATTACTTTTGATTTGAAGTCTCAGACAGAGGAAGATTGGAAAATATACAAATATTTCATTAAAAAAAAGCCTTTCTGATTTTGTTTTTTTAGAGAAAAAACAAAAAGAGAAATCCTGTATAATTTTCCAGCCGCTTGGTAACTTTGCTCTAGTCTGTATGGGCTGATTACATAAAATCCCAATAATACACACAGGCTTATCAGTTGTACAAGTGTAGGAAGAATGTGCAAAAGTCCAAGCAATATTTATTCTTCTGCAAGGCAATGTACTGTGTGCGACTGTACACCACAATAAATTGGCACTATTTATAAAGCTTTGAGCATTTACACAAGATTTGGGAAGATGCTGTCATTTTTCTCCTAACAGGACTTTTTTTTTTTCCAAAGCAGCACAGGATAAAGAGGAGGAGAACAAAGTGACAGCTAATACTTTACAGGTGAAGCATTCCACCTGAAGGCAGCTGGGGACAAAAGTATCAAATTGTCTCCTTTCAACGTTGATGGCAATTAGAGTCATTTATTGTACGAGAATCATCACAGTGATGCATTTTACTTACCGGGAGTTTTTTTTTTTTTTTTTTTTTTTTCCTTTTCAAAATCTCTCTGAGATCCTCCACAGAAAACAACAAAAGGACGAGTACAAAGACGCAGATGGATCTGTTGATCTGCCTCATTTCAAAAGATGAAGACAAAGCTGAAGATGAAAGAGAGATGTTGTTCAACAAGAAACAGAGAATATAACCAGAAATGAGAGAGAGAGAAAAAAAAAATTGTGTAATATCTACTGTTCCTCGTCTTCTATCAGCATTTGAAGTCTTTCTCAGTTGCACCGGACTGCAAAAGCAATCGACCTCATCATTCTCTTCCTACGCTGCCATCATGTTTAATGTATCTCCAGGAGACTGTCAGAACAAAGTTGTGAATATTAGGTCATACTTAAGGATTATTCTATATGCAGAATCCAAGAGGCAATGGACAGATGTGAGAAGGGAGGAGGGATTGCTTTGAAAATGGGGGGTGTGGGTGGCAGAAAGGTGTGGTGTGTTCGTCAGGAGTGATGCTCACCTTATCTGCTCCAACCTTGAGGATGAATTGGCAGCCACCGCTTTAACACACACACACACATGCACACACGCACCATCTCAGTAGCGCACACACTCATATCCCTAACGCTACTGCCCCTTGATTGACAGCTCTTCGAATGAGTGTCTGAGTAGAGTCGGGCTCTGGCCCTCCAAGTAAGTGGGCCGTCAAATTACATCCTGGGGACCGGCTGGCCCTCCACTCCCCTGGCAGAGGAGATCTATTTATTTGTCTGTTTATTTGCTTGGTTTAAATATTTGGTGGGGGAAAATATTGAATTTTTGTCCCCCGGTCAAAGTCCCCCTCATATTTAGTTAATAAAGAGCAGAGGAGGTTGTTTGCCCAGAAAAGTGCAGGATAGGGGACTTTATTTAAGGGAGTCCTCGGAGAGAGCCGGTGACCTTCTTCCGGAGGAGGAGAGGTTTGTGTACACTGAGATGAGATTCTCCCTCCCTGCCTTCGCTAGCCTCTATTTTCCAGTCTAGATGTGCTTCCTCCCTTCTTCCTCCTTGCTTGCTGTCACTTTCTGTCCATCCTCGTCTCTGCACTTCTTTTTCTTGCTCATCTCTCGGCTGACTTTCCTCCCCATCTCTCTTGCCCACCTCTCTTTCTTTGCAGAGCCTTGCTGTATTTGACTGGAGCCTCTCTGTGGACTCCCCGGGCTGCATCCAGGTTAAACTCTTAATTGCTTCGGCAGTGGGTGGTTTAAGGCATCGGCTCATTGCAGCTCAGCCGGTCCCAGTGCACGGGGGCTGCAGGGGTTACAGGGGGGGGCGGGGTTGCTCTGAGTTTGGCTGTGAGTGTTGAGCACAGGGAGGAAGCGCTGCAAGATGATAAAGATTTATTAATAGATGCTGGAGACGACCTCTGACTGCTGCTCTCCAGCACGCTAATGCTGTGTGTTGGAGATGAGAAATGATCTCTACATGCCCCATCTATCTATCTATCCATCTGTCTTTCTTTGTTCTCCATTCTTCATAATATACTTAAATTAACTGCTCATACAACGGCCTAATCCATACATCGGCCACTGTTGTCGTCATGCAACTATAGTGACGATTTCTGGATTATAGCAGTCAGAGGAGCACTTTTCTTCAACAACTGTTCATTTATAATAAAATACATTATTTCATTATAAATGTAATAAAATAATGTATTTTATTACATTTATATTTACTAAAAAATATTTATTTTACTAAAAAAAACAACTTTCAATTTTTAAAAAACATGTAAAAGAAAACAAAAACTTTTCTTGTTGCACAGTCAACAGAAAGCTTGTAGAAAGAAGCTAGTCTGTTAAAAATGGTGAAGAGGATAATGATTGAAGAACTTAAACTAGAATTATTTATTTATTTTTTGAACGATTTCTGTGCATGTTTACCACTTGTAAATACCAAACTCTGCTGTTTTCACTTTAGCAGGCCACATGATACAACAGTGCAGCAGTCATAGTGAAGGCATACACGTACAATATATTTCACTCACTTCTCACTACATTAGCCACGCTTTTTCAACCACTTGACAACAAAGTCAACAAAACAACCAATTGACAAGCAGAAATTTAGTGGATTTAGGTGAAGATGACTTACTGAAGATGACATGAATCTAATGAGAAAAAATGATTTAAGTTACTTTGAATGTGGTATGGCTGCTGGTGCAACACAGTTTGGTATGAGTAATTTCATCTCACTATCAAAGAAAACATCCAGAATAAAGTGTTTATGTCAGAGGTAAGAATAGAATAGGCAGATTTCTCTCAGAGACCAACAACTCAAACTATGATTTTTACAAACCGGTTATGTAAACATCCACTTATGACAACTAAGAACAGGAAGCGGTGAGTAACTGGTTTAAAAATGATGAAAATGTTTTGCCTTGTATCATGGGTCTTCATTTGTGAAGCAGATTTCTAAATCTGCTAGACACCAACATGGGCAGATCATAAATTGGCATAAACAGCATGAATCTAGTGAGTATTGTACAGTGAGTAATGTCGCTAATCATATTCATCCCTCTTATGACTGCAGTCCATCATCTGGTGGATACTATCAGCAGAATAATGCAGCACATTGCAACCCAAGTTATTTGGGGTAATCCAGATATTTTTATAACTGAGGTTATGTCTCCCTTTGTCTCTTTTATCCTGCCATCCACCATTCGTGAACTAAGTATGAAATCTTGCAAGATGTAGCAGGATTTGAGTTTTTAAAAGTGGGGGCGGAGCCCATTGTTTGGTCTGGGAGCGCATGTTGTGGACAGGGAAGTTCAGGCCTGGCTGCTGCAGGTGGGCTAAATTTATATTTTGTTTTTCTTTTTTGATTATGATATTCTTACTGATATGCCTTTCAGTTTCTAGATGCATCTAATATTTGGAAAGATTGAGTTTGACGGGCTTACAAACAGGAAGAAAAGAACTGGTGAGTGTTTATTTCATTGTTTGGTGCATGCTAATGCTAACATTAGCATGCTATGCTAAGGCAGCCGCTATGTTTGGTAGGTGACTCGTGGAGCTATTTTGTTCAACACTATTTGATGAAAGAGATCCTTTTATATTGTCTGATGGTGCAATATTAACATTCAAATATTCTAGAACATTAATGAAGATGAAGAGTACTCTATTTGAATAATTGTCATTATATTGGGTTATGATAACCAGTGAAGGAATCCTGCACATGTATATTTTCTTATCTGTTAATGGTGAATTGTAGTCTGTCTCCACCACATCCAAAGGGATGCTCAACATCTAAACCTGCTAGAGACTGACTCAGTCTTTTGATTCCTGGACTGGTTACTGGTGAAACAGAACTGGACTTTTACTGCTTGTTATAGTCAGGATCTTTATCAGCATATGGACATTTTTTTAAATATAGAATTTGATCATCGACTTATTGGAAATGTTTGTGGTTAATGTAAAACTAAACAAGTTGTCTAATAGTGAAAGCTTATCCTGTATATATTGAAAATCATTTTTCCAACTACAATATAAACCTTCTGCACTGTTTTTCTGTGTCTGGTGTGTTAATTCAGCTCTGATCCTCCCTGAGTCGTATCTTTAGGTTTTCTGATATATTGCCCCTTACTTTAAACCAGGGGTGTCAAACTCCAGTCCTCAAGGGCCGCTGTCCTGCAGTGTTTAGATGTGCCACAGGTAAAAAACAGTGGAATGAAATGGCTTAATTACCTCCTCCCTGTGTAGATCGGTTCTCCTGAGCCTTGCTAATGACCTAATTATTCTTTTCAGGTGTGGTGCAGCAGAGGCACATCTAAAAGTTGCAGGACAGCGGCCCTTGAGGACTGGAGTTTGACACCCCTGCTTTAAACAGTTATCTCATTTTAGCGTTATTGCAGCATCATAAATGCTACAATATCACATCTGCAACACATAACAAAGAATTTGCCATATTTCTTTGGTCTCTCAGAGTCACCAGCTCTCAATCCATCAGAGCACCTTTGGGAAGTGGCGGAGAAGATGATTCATAGTTCAAATCTGCTTTGTTGTCGCAGTTTTGGAGATTTCACCCAGATACGTAGCGGGTGCTTAAAAACCACACCTGATCACTCCAGTCCATCCTGGTCGTCTTCACAAATACCTTCTATGTGTTTCTTTTTTTGGAGACAAAGGACTTGTTCTCAGATACAATGCAACCTGTACTGCTTCTGTAAACCAAGTCCTCTGTGATATCCCTCAGTGACTTACACAGATGGCTTTTTATTTTAATTATTATTTTAAGAGTACATTTTAACTAGGTTTCTAACACTTTACACCAGTAAAACAAATCAGTTATACTGTCTTTTCTCCTCCCCCTCTTACAGATAAACTGTGCTGGTGTGTCCATCCGTCAGGTTCAGCTTGTCACAAACAGCCTCAACACATCTCCACATTGATCCAGGCTGCAGTTTAGTTGAGGCCCCTACTACTCCTAATGCTGTTCTGCCACCAAAATAAAACCCGGCGACATGCCTGCTCAGCTAATCAATGGGATCAATAGTGCATTGCATCCTCTTATAAATATGTTGACACCCGTCAGGTCCTGTAAGTCAACTGTGAATTACATTTTTGTGCTGCCACGCTAGTTAAAAGAGTCAGTATGCTGCTCGGTGTGTGACAAAATCCAGCAGTCGTGGCTGATTTGAGTTAATGCCCCCGCATCTCAGTGCTCCACCCCTGCTATTGATTACTGTTTAAAAGGCTATGGGTAGTCAATACGACCCCTCATCACCATCTGTCTCTATTTACTAATAAATAAAGTGGAGTGCATTGACTGCTTGGGCCGGGCCTGTAAAAGCATGCATGCTAATAAGCGTCAGGCCCCTGTAGACACAGGAGCAAGAAGGTGTGGACTTTCTTCCTCCTCACAATCTCTGCCTTGTGCTTTGCACGAGGCACAGAACTCCAATCATTGTAATTGCCTGCCGGTCTTCCTGGTGTTCAATATCCCTCATCAAACGAAATGCGTCTTCGCTCCGCCTGCATGGATTTTTTTTTCCTCCACTCGTGTCCTCGCTGTTGTGTTGTTGTTTTTTCCTCTGCAGTAGTGTGCAGGTCAGCTTTTAGGGCCATGTCTAGTCATTTGTCAAGACGTGGGCCATAAGCTTTGCCTCACCACACTCTGTTTTACTGATCAATTACAGTTCATACAGAGGGGCTCATTTAAAAAAAGCACCAATAAAGCAAGTATCATAAATGACACCATTTTTTCCATCCAGGTTTTCGATCGGACTTTCTGCTGCATGTGCTCGGGAATAAATTAGTCTTTGTTTTAATAAAGATGCTGTAGAGTTGTTATGTTTTTGTTAAACTGCATGTTTTTTTGTTTTGCTGAACGGCGAATCCTTTTTTTCTTTCCAGTGAATGATTGTTTCCACAGAAAGTCATCAGATTTTCAAGATTAAGGTTTTTAAAGTTATAGTCAAAAAATAATTACACGTCGTTTAAGAATCTTAAGAAGAAAACTGATCCTGTTGATGAATGTAGTTATGATTTATTCACATTAAAATATGTTTACTTTAAAGGAACATAATCAATAAAACAAATGTATCTATAAATTCCATTCAATATAAGACTTCTTGCTAAAGTTGTTTTGACATTTTAAACGCATAATAATTCCACTGAATATAAGTTAAGACCTAAAGTTTAACATTTATGAATATTCAATCATCAATTAATTATTACAGATTCTTAATTTCTAAATAATAAACAATAGCCCATTCATATTAGGACTTTGACATATGATAACTCGCATTTACCATTTTTGGAAATGACAGTTGTCAAGGTCACAAAAATGCTAATATTTTAGAGCATAATAAAGTTATTCCGTGGAATAACATGGATTTTCTGAATTTAAAACATGTACCTTCAAGGGACTGAAGGGAAAAGCAGTTGAGGAAGTAAAAAGAGAAACATTTTGTTGTGTCCACTGCAATGAGTGAAGGAGCAAAAAAAAAAGAAAAAAAAAGGCGATATTCACAAAGCAGATGCACACAAACACATTCCTGCGTACAGACAGAGCATCCATTTGGTCTGACACTGATTTCCTGAGTGAAGGCGCGCTGCTGATGTGAGGAGGCTCTCCAAGCTCAGCATAACACAGTACTGCTGTGTCAACGGTGACCCGAGCGACCCTGCAGGAGCTGGAGAATGGGCTCTGGGGTCGCTCTGTGGCTCAGGTGAAATGAGGGGTCAGGGGTCAGCTGTCCAGTGTGTCAGGCTTGCTGATCAGGAAGTGTAGCCTCTCGCTTCAGGGAGTACAAAGGGAGTGTCATGTTTTGGATACATACTCGCACTCTGACATAAATCTTCCACGCTTACATGCAGCAGAGCTCCCTGCTAGTAGCACAGTGCCACAAGAAAGTGATGCAAATTATCATGATGTGGGAGGAGCGATCATTATTTTTAATGTGCAACTCTGAATTTCTTGTGGAATTTAATTCGATTTATAGACTTCTTGAACATATTTAGAACTCGACCTTATTTCTTCCAGGTTTTGTAGCAACATTAAACAGAGCAAGGGTTCATGTTTGTTTGTCCCAACCCCGGCTCTCCGTCTGCACCTCTCTCCCATTGTAGACACATCCAAACGGACCCCCTACCTCTGCAGTGCTGAGGCAGCCCTTCCTTCCATCCTCGATCCTGAGTCTCAGGTTAGAGAACTCACTGTTGTTCTGAGCCACCCCAACATCCTGGTACCGCTATGAAGGGAAAACACTGGCGCTTCAGTAGGGTTTCCTTCCCCCTGGCTTTTTCTGAAGCAGCCTCTGCTGGCTGTCCGGATCAAACCGGCCCACAGTGTGGTGCCGAGTCCTCTCTGCAAACAAGAGGAGGCCCTCTGCATTAAAGACTCGCAGCAGGAGCGCCCGTCCTAGAAGTTTAACTTTTCAACTGCCGTGGAGAGGTAGTATTACAAGGACGGATTATTGTACGAGCTTCCTCCCGAGTTTGTACTTGCAAATGATTCAAGTTATTTTAGTTCTTTTTTTTTATGAGTCAATATGCTGTGTATTTAATCAACCTGCTCTTTGCATACAGAAACGCTGCCTACAGCAAAAATACTGACACACATGAGATGTTTACACATCTGAAAAGTGTGGCACGTTTCCTTGTTCCTCTGACTGCTGACTCAGGAGGACGGCTCATCCCAAGACTTGTTGACTCCTGAAGGCTTTGTACATCAGGAGGCCGACATCTTTGCCAGCGCTGCTTTTTAAAATTGTTAAAGCAAAGTCAAATTGGATGCAAAGCATCTGTGGACAAATATTTTCAGGTTTTGCTGACAATTCTTGTTTAGATATAAGTTTGAACTAAGACAAGGTCAACAAAGGTGATCATGTCCCATAGTTTCACATCCTTTATTGGCTGCATACATCTTCATGTCAGCTGTGACAGGTTTTTCTCTGCCCACTGAGGAAATGCATCCCCACATGTGATGCTGCTGTGACACAGATTCTTCCACCTGAGCTCTGGATCTCTCCAGCTCTTCCAGAGTTACCATGTCCCTGTCTGTTAGCTGCTTCTCTGATTAGTGCTCTCATTTCTGTACCTATCATCACAGGTGGATGGCCAGGTTTGCAGTTATGCCAAACTCTATTAGGATGACGGATGGAACAGCTTTTTGATATTGTTTTAAACACACACAACAATCTGCTACAATTATTTGCGCTTCGCCTTTGTCCTCGTGATGAGGCTCTCCAACAAACTTCTGAGGTCTTCACAGAATCACATTTTCACACACAGGTGGAAGACAATGAGCTTAAGATTAGCTCAAGTTCAAGTGAACTGAACTTGAACCTGTTTGCATCATAGGGGGTAGAATACATACATCCTACATTATATTTGTCCTCCTTTGTTCACTTTGCAGTTATGTACTGCTGTGCATAACACAAAGGTTGATCCATACCCAGGAGATGAACATAAATTCTAGCTAAAATACTTTGAAGCTTGTTGCAAAATGTAGAAAAGTAACTTTGAAAGGCATTGTGTTCCTGTTTTAAATTTTTAAAGTTCATTTAACGTATTTTCAATTTTTTTTCATCCCAAATTTTGAATAGTAGTGCATCTGATGGTTATGCCAAAACCAGGCAATATTCTCAGATGTAAATTTTTCCGTTATCATCTTGCTGTTTAAATAAAAAACAGGAGATAGCCCCTCATCTCTCTCCATCTCTCGCTTTGCTCCCCCCCCCACCTGCCTGCCTCCCTCTCCTCCTCTTGCCTTCTTCTCCTGCTCACTCTGTCCAGGGAGTCATTATTGCTTTGGTAAATATTTCATAGACCTCAATACCTTTGCACACAGCCACCTGCCAGCAGCTTCTCTTCTCGTGGACAGAGAGATCAAAATGAAAGAGAGCAAAGTGGAGACAGTGGAGGAAGGAAGGAGTCTGTGTTTGTTAGATTTTTTTTTTTTTGCTGCCTTGTGTGCATTAGCATTTACAGTGAGGATGTCAGCTTTTTAATCGAGGCTTCTCAATGGACCGTGTCCCTCCACGTGTTCTGGAGAACTTCAGGGTGTCGTCACGTTTATGCAAAACAACGTTCCGTTTTCTGTGGTCCTATTTTTCACTTTACCATGTTTTTTTTTGTTTTTTTTCTCAGTTTGTTTTCAGAGATGGCAGTGATGGGAATGAGTGCGAGTCAGTCCTCGCTCAAGACGAGACACATAAAGAGAATACTAAGCCTCTCCTTCTTCTAACCTTGAGGAGCCCTGTAAGTGGCACCCTCTCTCCCTCCCTTTATTTTCCCCTTTCTCTTCTACAGCCCCACCTGTTTTTGACCGGGTTAGAGAGGGGTCTTGCATCACCTGCAGTGACCCCTCTCTTTCTTCACCTGGCCTGCATCTCTCCCCTCCATCCTTGCCTTGAAGAGGACTCAAAACGAGCTGCGATTCAGACATGAAATATTCAGCCTGGATGTAACCGCTTTAAGTTGTTTCAGAGTGGATAGAGTGTTGCCACAGAGCTTTGACTTCATAAATAAATGGTCAACAGCAGCTTCTTGGACGGCACTGCCTCCTGTATATATATGTGGCCAAGATGTTCGTGTGCCTGGGGCTAGGCCCTTCCAGTGAGTTCCAGGCCTTAAATATGGATAAGCTTTAGCCGCCCCTGGACAAACTCCTGTGTAGTCGGAATAATATTGAAGCTTAGCTGTAGATTCTGACCGAGAGAGAAAAGAGGAAAATCCTTGGAAAAGCAAGGCTGTTGGTGGTAGTACAATGAGAAAAATTTGTTTAGATGTGCTTCAAACTTCACGGATGTTTGTATGTCCAGCCAGCCGGCAGAGATCCTGTATTAGCTTCTGTTTACGCAGCATGAGAGCTTTCAGACTGAAGCGCTGCCTTACTATATTGCTAGCTGCCCATCTACACTCACCAGCTACTTTATTAGGTAGATGTCAGAAGTTATTGGCATGATGAACATCATAGCTGCTGTACATCCATGATGCAGAACTCCCCAAGCTGCCCTGTTGGGTTGAGATGTTGTGACTGTGGAGACAACATTGAACTTTCATGTTCAAGAATCTAGTTTGAAATTGTTTGAGTGCTTGCTGGATGTAGTCCTCAGACGTTCTCAAAACGCCCCTGTCACAAACAACCAGGCCAAGTTCAAAGACTCTCGAATCCCTTTTCTTCCCTGTTCTAATGCTTGGCTCGAACTTCCCCAACCAAGCTGTCTTCACCACCTCTAGGTACTTAAATGCAGTGAGACGCTGCTACGCGATTGGTTGATTTGCTGTTTGTGTTAAACAATTTAGCAGCTGCACCTAATAAAGTGGCCGCTGAGTGTAGCTACACTCTAATCCTTTCTAAACTGGCCCCCCTCCTATTTTCCACCGGAGGTCCAAAGCAGCTCCTGTTTCTGTTGAGGGAAAAGCTTGATGCTTGGTTTCCTTTGAGCCTTTCTGTGTAAACTCATGTTCACGCTTTTGCCTCGCAGTCCTGGACGTTTTAACCAGGAAATGAAATGAGTCTGTAACAAATGTTTTGGCTTCTGTTGAACTCTTTAGTGAACAGGAGCTTGCCAAACGTACTGTTCCCAGTAACCTCCTGGGACGGCAAATTCTCAAACTTCAATAATTGGGGGTGGGGCGGGGGTTGCAATAGTTTCTCGCTTCTTTATTGAAAATGCTTTAAAATAAATGTTTTACAGAATTGCTCGGGTATTAGGATAAGGAGGATTGAAATGAAGGATTTCTTTTGTGAAGTCCATTTGTATTTCATTTCTGCGGACGGAGATACAGTCTTGGTTTAGCCAGGCCACTTAAGGCATGAGCATTAATCTGTGGGTGAAAAGCCGTCTTTAAACG